CTCTGGAGAAAAATCCAGGAGGTCTTCCTGGAGGAAGGGGCATTGGATCTTAGTCTTGCAGGATGAAAACTACCAATTAATTAAAGCTCCTAGCAGCCAGTTCCCTCACCTTCCACTAGGTCCTTCCCCCTAGAGGGCCTGGTTTATCCAGCAAGACTGCCAGTTCTGTTTACCACCCACAGGCCAGAAGATAAAACCAAGGGGCTGGCGGTGGTGATAGATGCCAGGAAGCAGCCTCTACACCCTGTCCTGGTCAATGCCTTGGAAGCCACCCAGGTGAGTGAGAGGTGGACAGCATCAACCTAGGAAGTCTTGGGAGCACCAGGGCCTTCTGGTATTCATGGAGTCTGGTAGCTCAGAGCTGGGTCCAGGCCCCCAGACAGGGACTCCTCGTTGCAGCTAGCAGAAACCCCAGCCCAAACAGGCTGAGAGAGGAAGGTTCTTCATTGGTTCACGTGACTCCATAGTCCAGGAGTTAGATCCAACGTCAAGTATGGCTTGATTCGGGGACTCAAATATGTCACTCAAATATTCTCTCTCCATTTCTGGCCCTGTTCTCCTGGGAGGGTGCCCTTCTCAGCCAGGCCCCTCTCTTAGTGGCAATCTGGCTCCCAGAAGTTTTGACTTTACATGGTCTTGGATTCAAGTCCAGTAGGAAAGAGTGAGAGATTCTTTTCCCAGAAGTCCCAGCAAAAGTTGCTTTGTGTCTCCTTAACCCTGATTGGCTCAGGTGTCAGGAAAATGCGACACACTGATTGGCTTAGACTTAGGTCACCGGGACCTCATGGACTGAGAATAGGGGAGGGAGGAGATTCCTCCATAGCTGGTATGGGCAGCAGAATAAGTGGAATTTGGAATTAAGCTTACCTCAGGGTCTGATCTCCTCATCCTCACTGTATAGATGGGGAAACTGAGGCCCAGAGGGGATGGATCATCTAGGAAGTTTGCAACCCAGCTGGGACCTCTTGATGTCCAATGACACCCTCCACACATACCCTACAAGGGTCCCAGCCTTGCATAACCCCCGCTTCCCCTCCCTGGCCCTGTGGCCTATTTGCTTGTGTCTTAGAAGGGAAGCTCAAGGGCTCCATGAAGGCCTGGGCAGAGCAGCTCCGAAATGCTTCTTTCGTACAGGCTCTGGACCCAGCCTCCATCCATGTCATACTCTTCCTGGGGGAGAAGGAGACTGCTCTTCCGCTGGAGACATTACCTGACGTCCAGGTGAGGGGCAGGCAGCGTCAGCAGAGCAGAGAGGAGGTGTTGGGCTTGCACTGAGCTGGGCTGAAGAATTGCAGACGTCCCGAGCGAAGAGAGGCCCTGAAATAAGGTCAATAAATACAAGGCCCACAAGCTACAACTCTCGGGCCCTGCCCCTGGCAATCCTAGCAATGCCTGGTGGGCACCACCACGTGATTGAGAGCTGCACATGGCAGGATACCTTTCTGAGAAGCTTAATCTAGACCAGTGGTTCTCAACCTGTGGGTCGCGACCCCTTTGGGGGGTCAAACGACCCTTTCACAGGGGTTGCCTAAGACCATCGGAAAACACATATATAATTACATATTGTTTTTGTGATTAATCGCTATGTTAATTATGTTCAATTTATAACAATGAAATTGGGGGTCACCACAACATGAGGAACTGCATTAAAGGGTCGCGGCATTAGGAAGGTTGAGAACCACTGCTCTAGACAAACCCTCCCCACTTTCTTTGCACCTGGGGAAACTGAGGCCCAAGGCCACACAGCAAGCTGGAGGCAGAGATGCTTTTTCCTCCCAGTTTTCCTGTATTTCTCTCCCTAGTTTCTCTGAGTATCTCAGCCTCAGGGGCAGAGTTGATTTGGACTCTGCAGGAAAGAGCGCGGCAGCTCCCTTTCTCTAGTGCCGGGTACCACGGCCATAGTGCTCTGCCCTGCTTCAGGAGATGGTGTTAAAGGGCCCCTTCCTCCTGGTTTGGGACGGGCACATTGTGAGCTAGAGAAATGCTTTCCAAGCTCATGTGCTTACGGGTCACTGGTGGATTTTATCCAAGTGCAATTTCCAATGAAGTCGTTCTGTTTGGGGCCTGGGACTCTGCATCTGCAACATGCTCCCACGTGTGCTGGTGCTGCTGGTCTGTGGACCACACTTGGAGGATCAGCAATAACTAGTGGGCCCCCAAACCACAAACCTGCTCAGCCCCAAGCTTAGGTGTCTGGAGCTGTTCCCAGCATAAACCTCCAACTGCACTGCCTGGGAGAAGCAGTCACCTAGTCCCTTCTCCATGTCTTAGGGGTTGCTGCTAATTCCCAGCATAAACCTCCAACTGCACTGCACCTAGTCCCTTCTCCATGTCTTAGGGGTTGCTGCTAGGATTTGGTGACCTTTGGCAACAGCCTCAAGAAGGAGACGGCACCTTGGTGGGTCACCAGAGGATGGTACAGGATTACAAAGAGATTAGGGCCAGCTTCAGTCAATTTGTGTGGTTGCCTGGAGAGCTGGGCTGGGCAAGAGCCGAGCTCAGAGGGAGCAAGTGCTGTGATTGATTAATGATGTCTGCCTTGGGCACAAGGCAGCAGAAGGGTATGGCAAATGCTGTTTATTTGCTATTCCTCACCCGGGGTCTGGTTCTGAATTTTGATTTTTCAGAATTCCCAGAGAAAATCCATTGTCCAGAAAGCAACTCTTACAGCCAGGGGCAGACTCACCTGTGCGAGGTGGAATGTGCTGGGGCTGGGATCTGGAGAGGATCTTCTCAAATATCTGTCCCCACACTGAGTCCCCGGTCCTCCTGACTCACTTCTTTTGTCTGCAGGTGGAGGTGCTGACCTCCTTAAAGGCCCTCAGCCACCACGTGGACCCCAACCAGATGCCCACAGCCCTGGAAGGCTCCTTCCCCTACTGCCACAGCGAGTGGGTGCAATTCTTCCAGGTGTCTACCGTCACAGCCTTTAGTCCTGTACCCTCACACCTTCCCTTCCTCCCTTCACTATCCTGCCCATGGATCCATCCACACTGTCAGGTTCAAAACTAGTCAGTCAACAAAAGTTTAAAATGAAGGTGCAGCATGGAGTGATTGAGAGCTCAGGCTCTGGGGCCCGGCTGCCCGGGTTCCAATCCCAGTTCGGCTGTGTGACCTTGGGTAACTTATATACCTTCTCTGAGCCCACTTCCTCGTCTATAAAATGGGGCAGGTAATCAGAGTCGGGGGTTGTTGTGAGCAGTAATTGACTTAATGGGGGTAAAGAGTTTAGAAGAATGTCTGGCACATGCTAAGAGCTGTCTGTGACAACTGAAAATAGATACAGACGTCTGCTCTGTGGACCCACACAACCCGGGAGCTCAGGGTCTGACGGGGAAGGCAGACGTGTTCCCTCTCATAAGAGGGAGGAAATAAGGAAACCACCAGCGAGGGGCTCCTTTCCCGTGTGAGCTCAACTTCTCTGGCCCAAATTAACACCCCGGACGGGGTGGCTCACACAGCAGTACGCAGAAGATTACCAGCGTAAGCCACATTGGAGCCCCGCCCGGCAGTGTCCGCCGGGGCGTTCTCTAGACCAGGGCTGCTCGATCTCAGCGCCGTCCACATTTGGGGCCGGATCATTTTTTTGTTGAGAGCTGGCTTGTGCATTGTAGCATGACTAGCACCATCCCTGGCCTCTGCCCACTTTGACCATGACAACCAAAATGTTTCCAGACATTGCCAATGTCGCCGAGGGGGCAAAATTACTCCCCGCTGAGAGCCACTGGTCTATACGAACAGTTTACAATGTGGTCTTCTTCTTTTAAAAGTCATGCCTGTTTAAAAATAGGCAGCACGTTCAAAATTCAAGTGGGGCACAGGGTACTGAAAAATCTCCTTTCCTAGTGTCCCCTGGGCCCCAGTTCCCTTCTCCAATTAATCGAGTGACTTTCAAACTACATTTTTGCTTTAAAACCTTCCCTTTAAATGAAATCTTACCTATAGACCTAGGATAGAAAACTGGTAAAGAGGAAGACTAACACTGTTTGATCCTCACACCAGCCTATAAGGCAGGAATTACTGTGATCCCATTTTACAGAGGAAGAAGCGGAAGCACAGAGAGGTTAAGTAACTTGCCCAAAGCCTCACAGCGAGTAAGTGGTGGAGCTGGGCTGAAGTGGGACCCAGCAGAGGATGTCCTCCTTCCCCCTGTCCACTCTCTCCCTCTGCCTCCCCCTCCCCCAAGGTATCCCCACTGGCCTGGGACAGCGCAGGCCTGTCTTTCTCCTCCCTCTCTCATTCCCAGCACCGGTGGTTCTCAAAGTGTGGCCCCTGGGCCAGCAGTGTCAGTATCACCTGGGAACTTGTTGCAAATTCACGTTCTCAGGCCCCACCCTGAGGAACTAGGTCAGAAACACAGGAGTGGGGCCCGGCAGCATGGACACTAACGAGCTCTCCAGTGGTTCTGATGCAGCCGGAGTTGGAGAAGCACCACCTCAGGCCCCTGCTGTGTCTTCCTGGGTGGGGGAGGTGCCCTCCTCACTGGCTCAGGCTGACACCCCCACTTCTGTCCTGCAGAAGTCAGACCCTTTCCTTGCTGACCTCCGCCAGGCCTCCTCCCTGCTACAGGCATCCATCAAGGAGTTTGAGAAGGGTGACTCCCCTGGAGGGGCACAGGTGAGCCAGGGGCATGGGTGGCAAACTCTCACCACACCCCAGATTCCTCAGACCAAGGACTCAGTGAAGGGAACAGACAGGCTGGGCATGATCATCCCTGTTTTACTTTAAAAAAAATAATATTTTTATTGATTTCAGAGAGAAAGGGAGAGGGAGAGGAAGATAAAAACATCAATGATGAGAGAGAATCATTACCTCCTGCATGTCCCCTACTGGGGATTGAGCCCACAACTCGGGCATGTGCCCTGACCAGGAATTGAACCATGACCTCCTGGTTCATAGGTCGATGCTCAATCACTGAGCCATGCTGGCTGGGCTCATCCCTGTTTTTCATTCATTCATTTGACTTATATTTACTGGGTACTCACTATGTGCACCCAGAGACCCAGCCTGGGCAAGCCGATTTGTCCCTGCCCTCATGGGGTGCATGGTACAGCGGTAGAGGTAGTTGTTAAAAAGTGAACAAAGAAATGGACATGTAGTTACAAATTATGCCAAATGCTATGAAAATAAGATTGAAAATAATGGGGAAGGAGGGAGATGGTATTTAAATTCAGACCTGAAGGATAAGAAGGAGCCTGCATGGGAATAGGAGGGGGGTTGGGTTCCAGGTGGAGGGCATGCATGTGCAAAGGCCCTGAGGTGGGATTATGCTTGGTACGTTCAGGAATAGCATGGAGGCCGGTGTGGAACAGAATGATTTGGGGGTGGGGGTGGGGGGGAACTAGAAGATCTTCTGGATAGAGGCTGGATCAAAGAGGAGTTGGATTGGGATGTCCTTCTAAGCAGGCAGGGAAGCCACTGGAGAATTTAAGCAGAAGGATGTTTAAATTTGCACCAAGATCCTTCCAGCTGCCATGCAGAGAATAGACTGCAGGGGGAGCCAGAGTGTAACAGGAAGACCAGTGAGGAGGCTGGGATGGGTGTGCCAACAAGAGATGATGGCACTTGGACCAGTGAGCTTGCCATGGCAATGAGAAGAGTGGCCTGAGGAGATGTTTTAGAGATAAAGGATAGACTTTCTGTAGGACTTTGTATGCCAAACTGGGGGAGTTGGGCATGGTCAGGGTGTGGGGAGCCCTGGAAGGTGGTAGAGGGAGAGTGGGGACTGGGTCTCAGGCCACCTCCCTACACTGGCAGGAGGCCTCCAGGTGTCTGAACAAGTCCAAGGAGCTGATGGAGGCTGTGCTGAGGGACCCAGTTCTGCTGGGCCTCCAGCGGGAAGGCGGAGCCACCCTGGCCAGGCTGCAGCAGGAGGCCAGCAGGCTGGACTTCAACCCAGATGTCAGGTACGGACGCCCATCTTTTCCTCTCCCACCCCACCTGATTCCTGGATGGGAGTTTGGAGCTGGGGACACATAGGGTGGGCCCGGCAGATGCCCAGGATAGGGATGTGCCCAGGATAGGGCCCATATCCTGTCCCTTCTCTGCTGCCCTCCTTCAGCCCCAGTCATCTTCAGACGGGGGTGGGCATTGGAGGACAGCCCTGCCTGTTTCCGGTCACACTCATGGACCAGGCACTTTCTCTTACCCACTGAGCTGAGCCTGGCCAGGAGAATCTCACGGTGTGTGAGGTCTCAGAGCCACAGCAAAAGCAATTCCTAGAAAGTACCAATTTTCTTAAATTTAGGGGTGGTATAGGAGCAAATCAGTAATTAAATCAGTCAGTAATTGGAAATTTCTTTATCTCTGTTAGAACACAAAGTTTGCATAAACTCAAGGACAATTTGTTTATTTAACCAGCACCTAAATAGCACTTAGTATGAACACAATATTGTTTTAAAGGCTTTACAAATAGTAACTCGTTTAATTCCCACCCATGTGGTGAACCTAGCAGTACTCTTATCTTACAGTGGAGGGGCCTGAGGCTCAGAGAGGCTAAGCGACTTGCCCAGGGTCACAGAGCTGGGATGTGGTGGTGCCAGGGCTTGAGCCCAGGCAACTTGGCCCAGAAATTTGAACACACCACCCTGAGCTGTGCCACAGGCAAAGCCATGCTGATATGTGCACTGGGCAGCAGGGCCCTGGTACCAGGTGTGGAGTCCTCACCCTGCCCCTCACGTGGCCTGGTGGGGCTGTGATTCCCAGAATGTCCCATCTCCCTGGCTGAGCGCCAGGCCCCTATTGTCGACCAGAGGCCCCTCCAGGCCGTTGACCACTGGCAGGTCCACCAGGGGGCACTGTGGTCCCGTGTGAGCCGCTGTGCGTGTTTGTTCGGCTGCTGGGTCCCTGCAGCTCCCGCCCTCCCCTCTCCCCCTCCCTCCGCCAGGCAAGCTGGCATTTTCCATCAGGTTCACGCAGCCTGGGCCCTCACCTGGAAGGGCAGGCACCCGTGAGGAGTATCAGTCAGATGGGGAGGCCCAGAGCGAGACAAGCAGGCATTCCTTCCATTCCATCTCCCCGTTTTCCTTTTCCTTCTGA